TACCATGGAGCCTTTCATTGTCTCTTCCTCCCTATTCATCACTTTCCCTAAACTGGATCTCTATTTCCACCTTCCATTAAGAAAAAAATATGCGTTATTTTATTTCTTACTCTTTTGCCATGCACCCTAATTCAAATGCATACTTTTGAATTTTTCTTTAGGAAATCTGAGTGTTTGATGCTGCTGCCACAGAAAGAAACTGATCAGTTTGGAGCACAGACTTTTAGGTATCACCAAAAGAGGATGCAAGTCTCTTTCAGGCTTTATGCTTTGACTGGCTGGCAAAGCTAGGAACAGCAGAGGCACAGCGATATCTGGTTTAAGGGAACACCACATTATTTTTCATTTGTTTGGCATTGGGAATTTTATGCATCGGCACTAGGATTTTTTTTAATCCTGCTTAAGCAGAAACTTCAATTTGGTAAAGACTGACAATATTACAGCTCACTACTATGAAAGGCAATTGGCTCTTCTAAGCCCAGATCAAGAATTCATGCTTCTCTCTTCCCTGATAAAGCACATCAAAACAGCATTTAACAGAACACACAGAACACGTTAGCATTGTTATCCAAATAGATACTTAGCTTTGACAGTTACAAGATCACAAAAAAGAAACATGTTAATAATAACAGCCAACCTAAAAATCTTATTTGCATCAGCATAACAACTGTAAAACAAGTTGCTGCTTGTCTGAACAACATACCAAAGGCCTGACCTGAAGGAATGATGTTTAGATTGATAAGAGCTGCTCTAACTTTAATCAGGAAAAAGTGATTCACTCAAATCACGAGCATAACTCCTCCTTTACACCAAATTATCACAGTATTTTTGTGTCCCAGTTTCAATGTGATAATATATTAAACTAAAAAGAGAACAATATATCATATACTTAATTCTGAGCAGTGCAGAATCTAAGACTGAAGAGTACACACTTACATTTCCAATAGCCAGAAGGGCTTTGTCAAAGAAGAGTATCATTCCAAAGAAAAGGAAAAACACTCCAAAGCCTGTTAAACCCATTCCAATCTCTGCAAAAAGAAACAAAAAATCAAGTATGTAACAAAACATGGCACCAGAAGAACTCATGCATAAAAATTGTGAGAAACCTGCAACATTTAATAAAGACATTTTAAATTCACAGACAAGCTCCCAGTCTATTTCATGACTACTTAAAAAACTTTCCTGAGCATACAAAGTCTTGTAGATACGTTATTTCAATACCAGCTAGAGAAAGACTAACTGGTGGAAGCTGCTTATCATAAAAAGGATATATTTGAAACTATATACTGAAACAGAGTGCAACAAAAGCATGTATGCATATACACATAGGGCAAAGATCCCTTTTGATATACTGCTAGCATGGAGAAAAGGATTTTGTGAACAAATGAAACCTTGTTTTCCATTTTCAACTCTTATCCCATTTTGTCTGTTGCAGTAACACAAGTAACCTGTCCTTCCTATCCTCCTGAGGCCTCACATCCCACCTCACATGGCACTACCACCCAACTTCTGGATTAAACACCATTCCAGACAAATGCTGTAGGCTCCTTCCAAATTACATGTGCTGACTGCTGTTGAATATTAGCTTGGGTTCCCTGCCAGTTGTCACAGAACTTGCAGATACTCTGAGTTCTGCCTGTCTGAAAAGGTTGGACAAGAAACACTGGGTAGGCAAGAGCAGGACAGAAACTTTGCTTCTCTGGGAAACCAGGTTCGAAGTGTCAATGCTATGATTAAAAGATACCATTTGGCAATAGCCTCCAAGGCATTTTGAAGAAAGTACATACAAATACAAAACTTGTATTAAAATTAAAACTTGTAAGGCCTTCCTCTGACTCTCTCACAGACTGAATGAAGAGGAACAGCAGCAACCTGGCTGCAAAAGCCTTTGCAGTTATCCATGCGCTCACCATTATATTACCACTGTCCTTATGACTAGAGAAATTAGAAACCCACAGGATACATAAACATAGCTTAGCAAGAACAGCATTATTATAGATAGGCCAGTAATCCAGCATATATTGGGGACCCCAGTACTTTTGTATGGTCTAGCCTGAAAAACAAACAACCCAAAACCTTCACCACTACCATTAGCCAAATTAAAGCCAGAACAGTTATCTGTAGGTATTTTCTTTGCCCCTTTTGACTGCAATGTTGAGTTACTTGATTATTTATTGTTGCTTGAAGGGTTTAGCAGAAAAGTAGTATCATAGTGCCTATTTCAGACTTGTATATAACAACAAAAAAAAAAACTTTATTTGTAGCAAATGAATTCAGAACAGCTCAGAGTAAAGAAACATTCAAATTCCTCAACTTCCTTAAGGGCTGCTCTTTCAGCAAGGCTGCAAACCACACAGTGTTAAATCTGTAATTGTACAATACTGTCCACCACACTAAACCTATGCTATGAACATTTTAACCACTTAGGATTAAAACTACTACATAAGCAGACATTTACAGTATTTATGATGAAACAGACGAATTGCAAGTTGTATTTTCAATGAAACTGCTGACTGAAACTAATACAACAATTGCAGCCTGCCCTTTTCTCTAGTGCTCTTTACTTTAGAAGCAGCAGAAACAATCTGGGAGGAAAACAGTTGAAGGCAGTGCTCCAAAAGAGTTACCAGCTGCCAGTAAGACAGAGTTGCAGCCATTGGAAGTGAGTATTCATTCCTCCTTCAGAAACACCACAAAGTAGGGATCTAACAAGAAGCAGAGGCTGACTCCCAACAGCTGCTGCACTTACTACTCTACACACTCCTGTATTCACCTAAAACACATTTGTAATCACTGCTATGACAAATTCAGATTCTCTTTAGAAGCCAACCATGTTCTCTGGTTAGCAGAGGAAAAAAAAAAAAAAAAAGAAAGGAAAAGAGCCCACCATTATCATATCAAAGATTCCTGCTGAAAGCTGATGCGATATTGGCAGAAGGAAGTGGGAAGTACTTCTAGACTCATCTCAAATAGATGTTACTGATCAGATTCATATTAGAACTCAGATCCCCCCCCCTCCCCCCAAGAATATCAAGTTCAGTATAACTAGCATTGCCATTGTGTACATCATCTTTGCAAACAATAAAGAAGGAAGTTTTATAGAGGGTGTGAGCTGGTTTTGAATGCCTTCTCCCTCCCACACCAGAATATTACTATATTGCTCAAATACAACCTCAGTGTCTAGAATGCAGAAACACACACTAACCACATGATGTTCTGATTTTTATTTTTTTAAACAACTGCTTTCCCGAGAGCTGGGAGCAATGCTTTCTCAATGTTTCTGTGAAAATCCCATGAGCTGTGAGAGAGTATTGCAGCACTACATCAAAATCACTTTGCAAATACTAAAACTTAAGATACACTGGTTGTGATAGTTCAGGGAAGACAACAGCATGTCCTCTATCTTTGATATGAAAACAAGAATGGAGACATGCACTATAGTCCTTCAGAAGCTTTAGAGTTGAGTTTTCAAATGTCAACTAATGCAGTGCCCCTCTCCAGGTACTTATCACACTACTCCACTAGTGACTCTACAGCTAACTATACTTTTTCCAAGCAGGAGTGAGTTTCAAAATAACTGAAGATATCTCTAGAATTTCAGAGAAATAATTAAATTAAAAACCCCCAAACTATACAGTATTTTACCTACTACTCTTGGATCTGAAAGTTAAAGGCAATAGAGTCAGCACAAGGAGTCAGGTGAAGGCCCCAAACAAGAAGCTAAGAAAAGTAAAACCGGAGAATAGATTTCTTCATCCTGAAGAGATATTTTGTTTCCTCTAATGAACAGTCTGGACCTGATGATAGGTGAATACACAAAAGCAAAGCCCGCAATGATTTAATGGGTCATAAAACTGAAATTAACACCAAAAAGCTACTACCTATTCAGTAACAAACCATAAAATCACACTGAAATCATCTCGAGAAATCCTTCACCTGGAATCTTGCTAGCCTGCTTTGCTGCCTGCCTTCATCCTTGGCCTTAGCTGGCTTTCCAGTACCCAGCTATCAAGATAAACTCAGATATAAACTTTATTATATATATATATATATATTTTTTTTTTACAGCTTTTACACACCCTCCTTCAAGTAACCCTACAGTGGTTATTGCACAGCCTTATTTCCTTTCACAGCAGCCACGCTAATAAAGGACCACGTGTGTGACATTAGCATAAATAAGAGGCCTATCATTCTGCCTTACCTGGCAGTTTATGTGTCTGTGGACCCTCTCTGTGTTTTTGCTTTCAGCATCTCTATCCCCCAGTGACGACAAGACCACGCTCCCATACAAGTTTTCCTTTATTGACTTTAGATTACGGGGCTGGCCCTCTCCTTACAACCCCTCCAAGACCACCTGAGAACTTCTACATCAGCAGGACCAAGCTGCAAGTGGCACCGTGCAGCCCCCGAGAGGGACCCGCAGAGCACCTCTGCCACCCACACGAGGGGGGCACGAGAATGGGGGCGCCCTGCCAGCTGCTGCTCGCTCAGCACCCAGCTCCCATTCATTCAGCTCCATCCCACCCGCCCCCAGAGCCCCACACCAGGAGGCTCCCGGAGCCCAGCCCAGCCCCACAAAGCGGGGGGCACCAGCCCCGGGCAAGCAGCCCCGCTCCCCCTGCCCGGCCCGCCCAGCCCCTCCTGCGGGCTCCCCTCAGCGCCCCCCGGGCGGTGCGCGGCGCTCACTCTGCGTGTCCGACAGCGAGATCATGGCGGCGGCGGCGGCAGCAGCAGCGGGAGCAAGAAGCAAACGGGAGCGGAGCGGAGCGGCGGCAGCAGCCACGTCCTCCGGAAACACGCAGCCCCTGCGCCTCGCCACCGGCTGGAAGGAGGCCGGCAGCGGAAGAGGCGGAGCCCGGCAGCCGTCGGGGCCGTTTTGGGGCCGTTTCGGGCTGTTTTGGGCCCGCGGCTGTAAGCGCCGAGGTGGCTCCAGCGGGGGCGGCTGGAGGTGCGGGTGGGCCTGGGAACGGCCGGGCTGAGTGCTGGTCTGCGACGTGAGTTCGGCTTTAAGAAGAAATAAATTCCGTTCTTTAGTCGGGGGCTTATGGGGTGCTCGCCGGGGTGTGAGGGCTGCCCGCAGGTTGTGCCCTGCTGCTGCGTCGCGTGAGAGGCGCTTCCTCGGCTGTGAAGGCGATGGAGTGCGTGGAATGGCCTCAGGCTGCGCCAGGGGAGGTTCAGGTTGGAAATGAGGAGACATTTCTGCTCATAAAGAGCAGTCAGGCATGGGGATGGGTTGCCCAGGGAGGTGGTGGAGTCACTGTCCCTGGGGGTATGCAAGGAGAGGCTGGACGTGGTGCTGTGGGGCATGGTTTAGTGGGTGACACCGGGCGATAGTTTGAGCAGATGATCTTGGAGGGCTTTCCCATCCTGAATGGTTCCGTGATGGGCTGGGCTCCGTGCACACCGTGCCCCTTGCACAGGGGTACCCCAGAGTTGGGGGCTGAGGGAGCTTCCAGCGCCAGGACGCTGAGCCGCAGGGTGACAAGTGACGCTGGTTCCCAACTTGTCATAGCTGTGGCCACTGCCTGTTTGCATAGCGGCCTTCTGCCTCCCCAGCAGGCTGCTTACAAAAAGCTCTAACGGGATGATGTGGTAGTAACCAGCTGTTCGTACAGTGGGGTGAAGCTCCCTAAGGGGCACAATGCTTTCGCTTGCCTTTTGTCCAAAAAAGCTCTTAAGGTATGAGTTCATCTTTATTCAGCTCCTTAGGAGCTGCATTTTTGAGGAGTCAAAGGGCAGGTGGGGACTTTGCTGGCAGTGCTGTTATAGAATCAGCTGGAAGGTATGCTGAGCTATGTCTTTTAGAGGCAGAATCTAAACTAACAGCTTACAGAGCCTCAGCACCATAGAGGAGAACTATAGGTAACTTTGATTTGCTTCCCACACTTTGGATAAGAAAATGGCTTATGAGCTATCAGTCTGGTGATATTTGTGACTATTGCATTTATCTGGGGGGAACAGAAGTAGTGTATTGCATTTGCGGTTTGTCAGTTCTGTAGCTACTGATTTCTTTGTGTGTCCCTACCTGCTCTGTATTTTGGAGAAGCAAACATTTCCAGATACTTTTGTGCAAGTGACAGGTGGTGGAAAGACAGGACTGGAACTCTGATTTTGTGGGTGATGTGGAAACTGCTGAATTATCCTATCAACTTCTGTCTGAAGTGTGGGACTTTGTGTTGTATACAGATTCTTCTGACAAATTCGGTCCTTTATTTGCATGTTCTTTGTTTATGTATGTATTTTTCCACCATTTGTAGGAACACAGTAAAATAGGTAGGATACAGATCAGCTTCTAGTGCTGGTCCACTGAATTTGCTCCCTTTCACCTTCTCTGGGTGAGTATCCTCTAGGTATTATGGTGGATACTTTTCTAATGGACAGAATGTAATCGTTCTGATTTTTGTGTGAAGTAGTTGTTGAAGAGAACCAAAAAAGGTAGGCGTAGGGGAGGTCAACGACTGGTCTATATTACACCATTCATCTATTAAGAAGGAAGAGAGAGTGTTTTGTAAAATTTAAGTTTTGGTCAAAATTCACGTGGTTTCACTGGAAGACTGGTAAGCTCTGTGTAGCCTTAGGATCTGTTTATGACTTCTTATCTGTCCTTTTTGCAGAAGGGAAAAAAGCGTGTTGTCATGTGGTTGGGTATTTTTATTATGGACAGATTAAATGAACCTATACTTAACCTGTTATACTAACACCTTATATATTAATGAAAAATTTCTTGCAGTAGATTTGTTCTAAATGTAGAAGGATTAGTAATGCTGTGTGTGTTTTTTTTTTCATTATTATTAGTGACAGTTTGGTTAAGCAAATTCTCCTGAGGATAGCCTTCTGTAATCTCCAGAGATGGCAGCTGTTGCAGGTAATCCAAAATTAGTATTCAGTATGTTCATTTTACTGCCTTTTGTCTAACAGACTAGATCACATGATGTTATTTGTTGTTCTTTATATGAATTTAACGTATGCAGAAAGGAGTGTGTCAGCTCTGTGTTGTTACACATTGCCCAGAAGGCCAACTGCATTCTGGGCTGCATCAAAAGAGGAGTGGCCAGCAGGTCAAGGGAGGTGATTGTCCCCCTCTGCTCTGCCCTTGTGAGGCCCCACCTGGAGTGCTGCGTCCAGGTCTGGAGCCCCCAGCACAAGAAGGATGTGAAGCTTTTAGATTGGGTCCAGAGGAGGGACACAAAGATGATCAAGGGGCTGGAGCACCTCTCCTACAAAGATAGGCTGGGAGAGCTGGGGATGTTCAGCCTACAGAAGAGAAGGCTGACCTCATCGCAGCCTTTCAGTACTTAAAGGGGTCTTATAAAAAGGATGGATAGGGACTCTTGGGTAGATAATGATAGGACAAGGGGGAATGGTTTTAAACTGAAAGAGGGGAGATTTAGATTAGAGGTCAGAAGGAAATTCTTCTCTCAGAGGGTCGTGAGGCACTGGCACAGGCTGCCCAGAGAGGTTGTGGATGTCCCATCCCTGGAGGTGTTCAAGGCCAGGCTGGATGAGGCCCTGGGCAACCTGATTACTGGGTGGCATCCCTGCCCATGGCAGGGGGGTTGCAAGTGGGTGGTCTTTAAGATCCATTCCAGCCTGAGCCATTCTGTGATTCTATACTTCAGATGTGAAGAAAAAGGTTTTTTCATAGGATGGTAGAATGGTTTGGGTTGGAAGGGACCTTTTAAGATCACCTGGTCCAGGCCTCCTGTTTTTTTTTTTGTTTTTTTTTTTTTTTGAACTGAATAACTTTTTGTTTCTTAGATTAAAAACTAAAATTTAAGTAGGTGTATCTGGCCAAATGACTTGACTTTCAGTGCTTTGACAGTATGCTTCATATTTTAAGACACTTTCAACTCATTCCTGCTGAATGAAAGTAGGCATTTTGGAAGACAAGTATCTCCGTTTTGTGCCATTTATAATGAGAATATCTTTTTCCATATGAATGATTTTTACTCCCATAAGCAAATTATCATATCTGCTATGTTTAGACCAAAACCAGTTATTTTGGAGGAAAAAAAAAAAAAAAAAAAAGAAAAGACATTTCTTACGCTTTTCTAACCTGTCTCAGAAGTGGTGGTATGCGTTAAATGTTAATAACGTTTAACCTGGGGGCTTGAGTTCTAGAACACAATCCATAATTCAAACAGATGCACATAGGGATGTAAAAAGGCAAATCTCTGCCAAGTATTCACTTATATAAGTCAGCCTTTTGGGGAGTGTTTGCTTCAGCTTTTTCAGATGTGAACAGTGTGTGTAAAAGCTTTTGACCTCCATGTTCAAACCTTGACATTTAGCAAACACTCTGGTTCTGCATAAAAAGGGAGATCTGAGTGCAAGAAATAAAGCTTTCTGCTATTACCCCCATTTCCATCTTCAGAAGACCTTTGCTTGCTGAGTTTAATGTTGATTCTTACATGTAAATGATTTCTGCTAAAAATGTGCTAACATCGTGCTCACATTGCGAATGGCTGGACGGCTGGACTACTGCTTTTGTGCTCATTGAAGCTCTTTCAGCTTTAATATCAGGCAAATGCAATTTGCTTTTCATTGCTCAACATACATCTGGAGAAAATAAGATAATGGCAAGCGTTTCTCTGGTGAGACACCACTTCTGAGAAACTAGGTTAAGGTGATTTTTTATTAGTTATGTTGCATATCTCTCATACACTGTATTGGAGATGACAACCTAGAGTACATAGTTCCTAAATTAATAGGTCATATAAAACCACATATGTTGTTAAGCCTTGCTAAGTATTTTTACATGGTATGTATAAAGGTTAAGATGGTGTAAACTTAACTGGTAGGCCTATCATGCTGTCTTTTTCTCTAGATGCTGTTTATTTTTAATTTCGATTGTTCTTGATCAATGTGTGAAATACAATGCCCTTTAAAACTGTGATTAGTAGTCACTATTTTGCCTTCACCCTGTTTTCTCTTCAGTGCTAGAGGAGGAATTGCTTTCCATTGAAAATGAGCTGCAGGCAGTGGAGATGCAGATTCAGGAGCTTCTGGATAAACAACAGGAACTTATTCAGAAGAAGACAATGTTAAAAGGGCTGATAAAGAAGTCTTCAGGAGACTTGGAGGCAGGGGGAAGTAAAGAAACTGAAACCTCAGCTGAAGCGTGGAACAAAAGAGGTTTGAAGAGTCAAATTCAAATATTCTAGCACAGAAGTAATCTAATTCAGTATGGGAAAAATGTGTTCATACAGAGTTTTGTTTGGATAATGATATTGTTCCATTTCATTTTGTTCAGCTGGGTGGCCTGTCATCTTAATTACATGGGTTAATATTTGTACTTACCTCCCTGGGCATTCCTTAATACTAATCTGAGTTCTTATGGACAGAATTATGACAAGAATGGCCTGTTATAACTACTTTTATTCTTTTCTTGCTGCGAAGTCACAGCTTGACTGGAGTTGCTAAAAGAATCCAAGAGTAAACCTGCATGTATTGCAATACTTATTTTTAGATCAAAAATAATCAGGGAATAATTAGTCTGGATATTTTCTGGATTTGTTAATAAGTCTTGCACTCCTGAAGATACTTTGCACTGTCTCTCTGTGTTTTTTTTTGTTGTTGTTGTTTTTTTTTGTTGTTGCTGTTTTGTGTTTTTTTTTTTTGCTTGAATGGGTGGTTTCTTCTGTGGGTTATTTAGCCCCACCATTTTACCTAGTGATGCAAATTAGATGGATGCTGACTGCTGAAAATCGTATAGCATGCATTATTTCGGTAGAGTTGGCCCTACTTACAAGTGTCCCACGGTGGTGTGAGGGCTGCTCTTCTTTTGGAAGTGCCATCTTTAAAATTAAACGTTAACTGAAGTCCTAGATAGCTGGTGGGTCTCGACTGTAATTCATGGCAAATTCAATTTAGATCTTCTTATTATTTTCCTCCTCTTCTACTTCACATGTAATTCGGAAGTGCATTGTTAGTTCCTGCCTGTATCTATTATATGTAGCTTTTTGTTTTGTTTGTTTTTTAATGAAATTGATTTTGTAGTCTAACCTATATTTGTCCAAGTTTGGTAAAACATTATGCACATATTGATACTTCATAATTGCAAATCACTGCTATTGAACAGATTGATATGTTTTGCTTGTCTTTGTGCCTCGTTCTCTCCTTCTAAGCTTCAAAACCTAACACCTTTTTAATCAGATGCTGCATATTTACATATAGAATAAGAAGTACAGCTAAATTTGGTGTCGGTATAAAGCTTGCTGAAATCATTGGGAAGCTTTTCTTGTTTTCAGAGAACTTTGGAACTTGGCTGTGATCTCTGTAAATTAGGAAGCTAATGTGTGCCCTTATTGAATCGTTGAACACGTTCATGTATGTGAAATTACATCACTTTCAGATCTCGTTATTGTATATGTAAATTACCGTTCCTTGTGTTTTAAGAAAGTAGTTATAAAATGCATGTTTGTTTTTTTTTTCTTAACAGATTTTCCATGGTATGAGAAGATAAAAACTGCATTGCAGAGCAAGTTTAAACTCCAGAAGTTCAGGACCTTGCAACTTGAAACAGTAAATGCTGTAATGTCAGGAAAGGATGTATTTCTTGTCATGCCTACAGGTGGTGGAAAGAGCCTTTGTTATCAGTTACCGGCTGTCTGTTCTGATGGTATGTAAAGGGAGGAAACAATATATGAACAATTTGATATAGTTACTCTCTTCTGTAGTTATATGAAGAATGCATGTTACATTGGAGTCTGATATCACAATATATGGGGTTGGGGGAAAGAGTGAAGATTTGAGGGGGAGATTTACTGGAAATACTTGTTTTGTTCTTTTTTATTTATTTACTTTAAGGAGTAGTAGCAGCTTTAGATCCAGATTATTTGGGAGACACTCTGTGTATTCATTTGTAAAAACAAGTATTCATTGTAGTTTTCAAACTTTTTTTTTTTTTTAATAACCCATCCAATTGCTTGAAAAAATCTAACCTACCAATACCTAGCATTGCTTAGTTATGTGTTACCTCATGACACAGCTGTGAATCTAACTTGCTTTGTTTTGTATATTAGTTCTTATACTCTGTTGCAGCACAGTTGTTTGTGGTCTAGATTCTAAGAAAACGTTCATGTCAAAGACAGTTGATCAAATTTATCACTATGTGACCTATCGCTCCCTTATCTGTCTAGGAGAGGAATCTGCTACTAAGCATGAAGTTTAAGTGCCTGTTGGGCAGTTCTTACAGAACAGGATTGATGCAATAGTTTTTTTTTTTGTTTGCTCGTTTTTAAATGTATTAGAGATTACACCATTCAAACAAGGCTTCAGATGCCACAAATAATTTATTGTTACAGGTTTCACACTCGTGATATGTCCTTTGATATCACTTATGGAAGATCAACTCATGGTTCTTGAACAGCTTGGCATTTCTGCAACTTTATTAAATGCTTCAAGCAGTAAGGTATGTTTAACCGCCCAATTTTGATGCCTTTTTATGAAATATGCTGGTGTCTTGCCTCTGTTTGTGTTACTTATGAATGCTGAATGAATGGCACAGTTTTAGCATCTAATGCTATTCTGTCAACAGTATCTTGAGAGATATATGCTGTGATATGGATAACGTGATTGAGTTATTGCATTACAGAATCACAGAAATGTAGGGGTTGGAAGGGACCTCAAGAGATCATGAGGTCCAACCTCATGATGCCAAAGCAGGTTCCCTAGAGGAGGTTGCCCAGGTAGGTGTTCAGACAGACATCGAGTATCTCCAGAGAAGGAGACTCCACAGCCTCCCTGGGCACTCTGTTCCAGTGCTCCGTCACCCTCATCGTGAAGAAGTTCTTTTGCATGTTGGTGTAGAACTTCCTGTGATCCATTTTTTTGACCATTGCCCCTTGTCCTGTCCCCACAGATCACTGAAAAGAGGTTGGCCAAATTCCTCTGTCTCCCACACTTAAGATATTTGTAAACATTAATAAGATCCCCCCTCAGTCTCTTCTTCTCAAGGCTGAACAGACCCAGGTCTCTCAGTCTTTCCTTATAGGGAAGATGCTCCAGGCCCCGTATCATCTTTGTGTCTCTCCGCTGGACTCTTCCCAGGAGATCCCTGTCTTTTTTGTGCCAGGGAGCCCATAACTGGACACAGTACTCTAGGTGAGGCCTGACCAGGGCAGAGTAGAGGGGGAGGATCACCTCCCTTGATCTGCTGGCCACGCTCCTTTTAATGCACGCTAGGATCCCACTGGCCTTCTTGGCCACCAGGGCACACTGCTGGCTCATGGAAAATTCTTGTTTTCCTGTTGTAATAACAAGAACACATTTAAGCCAACATATTTCAGGGAATAAATGGATTTCATGGGGCTGTTTAAAGGATGTGAACTACCTTTGGTGTTTATTCTATGTTTTTACTCAGTTTCTAGGTTTGAAAGAAGGTTAGGGGAGGTGATCGTTATTATCTAGTACTGACATGGTGAAGAATGCAGGCTTTTACTTATCTTACTTTGGGATGGTAAACTGATCCTGAGACCAGCAAGCAATGTATTTCCCAGTCTGTTATTAGTCAATTGCTTTTTATAGTGAAATATTTTTTTTTCCTGATTGCCAGGAGGTCGTAGTCATTAAATTGCACACGAGAGTGGGTTTGGTAGGTAAGTGGCCTGATGCAACTTGCCAAACTTAGAGTGAGCTTTGAGGCAGAGCACTTTGAAAATTCAGTAATAGAAGTTACAGTTGGTACTTATAGTACCACAGGTTTTTTTGGTACATTATAGCTTATTGGGAAAATGCAGATAGAACATGCTGAAACGAAGACAAACTTTCAGTAGTTTGCTTTTTCAAAGTTCTGCAACAAATTCTCCAAGTATTAAAATGAATGTTTTATATGTAGTGATCTGCTGCAAAGACTTACAGTAGCAGTAAATACTATGCAACAGTTTGATATCAGTCTCTGTTAATCACCCCCGTATGAGTTGTTAATAACCTCTTAAGAATCTTAGCAGTAAGCAACTTCTGTGTGTTGCACTAGTTTGTTCGCCCCTGATTTCTCCTTTTGTTTTGAACAGGAACATGTGAAGTGGGTTCATACTGAAATGCTAAAAAGAAATTCACAACTGAAGCTCATTTATGTGACCCCGGAGAAGATTGCAAAAAGCAAAATGTTCATGTCAAAGCTAGAGAAAGCTTATCAAGCAGGGTGTCTTGCTCGCATTGCTGTAGATGAGGTCCACTGTTGTAGTCAGTGGGGCCATGACTTCAGGCCTGGTATGCTCATTAGTAATCCAGTTTGCAGTGTTATTCAGGCATCAATAAATACTAAGTTAGGCCTGGAATAAAGCCAAGTTCTTTCTTCATGTGTTGAAGAAGTACTTCCATACTTAGGTATTGCAAGAATCTGTGTTAGCTCAAGGACTTTAATTAACAAATGACTCTGTCCTTGTCCAGGAGCTAAGTTCATGCAAGTTGCAGCAATTTCATTGTACATTTTGCTGTCAGTATCATGAAAAGCTGCTAATAAAACTGTTTTTGGCTGCCTCCTGTAATACAGCCAGTACAGTCATCTTTAATCTGCTACAGGAAAAAAAAATGGGTAATTTTTATACCACTCTGTTAACGCTGTGGGTGAGGTAAAGAACTTCATTCTAGAATGCCAAGGATCATGATCTGATAAGACATCTGCATTAGAGGTGATGATAATGTTTTGGAAATTCATGTGATGTATTTTAATTGCTTCTAAAGCAGTTTGAAATAAATGTTCTTGATTTTCAGGGAAAGAAAAGGTGCTTTAGATAGTTTCTTATCTTGTCAGAAAACTAACTTACTGTCTCTTTGCGTTTAAAAGAAAAACCTTGATTTGGCGCAAAAATAACTGTGAAGTCAACCTTTGCAGTTTTGATTTAAAAAAAAAAAAGTGTCTGAGCAAAGAGCTGGTGCAAGTGAAACAGGCAATGTGGAATTTGGATATGTGTCTCTGGCTGCATTTCTGTTTGGAGGCAACAAGTCATTGTCAGCACTGAGCCTTTAAAATATTTCCTGAGTATAGTCTTGATTCAGTATTTTTTTCAAATTCCACATTGCTTGATTCTTATCAAAGCTGTGTTTACAAAAAAAAAAAAACAACAAACACAACTATTCTTAAAAATAGACCTGCAAAATAATCTGAATGTTGGTTAATGCAATGCCACTTACATTTTTATAATTTTTAATGAGTTCTATTTCAATGTTTTGCCTTTTGAATTGTGACTTTTATAAAATTCAATTAGAAGAGAAAGTAATTTTAAGTACAACCTTCTTATTACTTCAGTTTGAGATGTAAATTAGCTCTGTGGTAACTGCAGTAATAGTAATATTTATTGCATTATTATCCCATCTAATACTATCAAGATGAATATCTTTTTTTTTAAACTTTGGATCTGTGGGATAAGACATTTTTCTTTCCCCTTTTTGTATTCTTGCTTAGACTACAAGTCCCTTGGTATCTTGAAAAGACAGTTTCCCAATGCTCCCTTGATTGGGTTAACTGCAACTGCTACAAATCATGTTTTAAAGGATGCTCAGACAATTTTGCATGTTCAGAAATGCATTACTTTTACGGCGTCTTTCAACCGGCCCAATCTTTACTATGAGGTATGTTTTTATTATCTGTTTGTTGAACTGCATCACAGTCTTCTTATCTTCTGTAAGTTACAGCTGATGAATTTCAGGATAGATTGCCAATTATCCATTTTCATAATATATAGTTTGCAACTTAATGATGGTGTTGTTTAATGACTTGATTTGGACTTGCAGTCATCTGCATAGGAATGTGGGCTGCCCAGTTCTCTGTGAGCAAGGCTTCACAGATAAGGCTGTGTATGGGTGGGCAGCAGGCTCAGACTGCTGCAACCTATTGGAAAGTATGTCATATCATTGCAAAAAGGTGTGAATTATTGTGTTGTACTGTATTTTCTGTCTGTCTGTATCTTCTTTCATTGTTCTTTATGGGAAAATTTGTGGGCTTTTTTTTCTATGGGCTTTTGAGATGTAATCTCTCCCTTTATAATCAAAGTATGGTAATTTTGGTTAAACAACAGAGCAGTTGTATTCATTATACTGGCAGAAGTAGGGTGATAGAATTGTCTGACAGACTGTTTACCAACTTGAAGAACTGTCTGACACATGTATTTTCCTTTGAGGTTCGGCATAAACCTTCAAGTAATGAAGATTTCATCGAGGACATTGTTAAGGTCATTAATGGAAGATACAAAGGGCTCTCAGGTAAACAGTGTAAAAGCATGTTATTATTTATAATTTTCAGCATTATAGGAATGACTTCAAATGATCATATAGAAACATATGGAAAAACATATAGAGAAATTCCACTTTCACCTTACATTGAACAACCAATGCTAAACGAGATGAAACTTAATAAGATCCCTACCTTGAGTAATTAATCTTTTAATTCTTTGCTGTTTACTTGTATCTTCTGAAGTATTAAATATAATGTTGACTTAAGTAGAACAATGTTTACATAGGTAAGAATAATAGCAAATTTTAAGACAGTAAAAACAAGTCTCAAAGTTCTCTATGTTCTTACTTCTTTCCCATATAATATCTGTGTTAGTGTACTTAATACCTTTTAACAGTTCTTTTTCATATTTGATCATAAAATTAATGTATTACTCAGTGCCCGGGATGGATGGATGATGGGGTGAATTGTGTTTCTGTGATGAAGGTAGAACTGTAAAAGCTGGACTTTATGCAACCAGTAGAATTATGTACTGCAAATCAAGAGGGTGGTCATATTACAAAGGCAACAGGACACAGTTTTCTGGAGCAGCAGTCAATCCCTGTCTCTGCTGTAGAACTCTGTGGCTGTGTTGGTCAGCTCCCTGTGTACAGAACTGCACTGAAATTATTACAAACTTATTACAAAAGGACATGATGGACCCCTTTAATAAAGGAACCACTTTACATAAGCACTAACAAGCATTGTCTACCTTGAATATTGACAGAATACTGCCATGATTATGCAGATTGGCATCCATATTTTCTCTTCAGTCTACAAGCCAAAGCTGGAGACTGAACTCTGTTTCTGTAGTAGGAGAAAACCCTAAAAGATAGGTAAGCCACTTTTTGCATAGTTCAAGAAGCCTGTTAGGAGGACTTTTTATATTACCTTTTACCTATTTTGTCTTTTCAAATTGATTATTTAAATTCCATTCATGGCTACCAATACCACATACTGAATAGGCATGAGGACCATTTACTGATTTTTATTTAAGTTAATAATTTTATTTTATTTTTTCTCCTTAAGTATTGGGGATTGTTTTATGGTTTTTTAATATTTTTGAAGACATTACGATAAAGCATCTTTCACTTTTGTGCAGGAATAGTGTACTGCTTTTCTCAGAAGGACTCTGAGCAAGTTACTATGAGTTTGCAGAAACTGGGAATCAAGGCAGGGACATACCATGCAAATATGGATGCTAAATATAAGACCAAAGTTCATAAAGGATGGGCAGCAAATCAAATCCAGGTTAAGTAGATACTTTTCACAGACTTCGGTCTCATTTAAACAAATTGTGTTTTAGTACCTTGATGGTTTCTTAATCTGTTTTCAGGTTGTAGTGGCAACTGTTGCTTTTGGCATGGGAATTGATAAACCTGATGTGAGGTTTGTAATTCATCATTCCATGAGCAAGTCAATGGAGAACTACTATCAAGAGAGTGGACGTGCAGGTATTGTAGGAAACAGCATTTGCAAAGCATCAGTTGACATCTATTTAACCAGTAGAATTGTTCTTTCATTTTAGATATGTGTTCAGTGTCCTGTCTGTGGTTTGGGCTACAAAGTGTATAATGCCACTGTGCCTCTATTTAGTCTTTAAAGCAAATACAAAAAACATTCATGATCTGAGGCCTCTGTACTGTAGTGTAACAAAAATAACTGAATATTTAGTCCTTTACTCAGCATTTTTTTTGAGTTACTTGATTTTTGTGTCATCTGTGGCATACCAGAATAATTCCCTAACGTGACATTGATTAGATTAGTCACAGAAAAGATATTGTTTCATTTGCATAGCAACTGGGATGCATAATCTGCTCAGATTTTTCTCTAGATGATGTATGATCTCTCTGAATTTTACTGGCCACAGAAAAATAAGTGGGATGAGGTGCCTGAGGGTTGGAATTTTAAGGGCTGACCAGTGTATAGCAGCACTAAACAGCTGGTGTAGCTTTGTGTTTTTTGTTGTTGAAGGATGTTGGATTTTTTTAAGCTTGTGCTCACTTATTTTTTCAAATACAGATGTGTGAAGGAAAGCCTTCACACAGGAAAAAAAGGGAAGGAAGAACCAAGAAGGCCAATAGGTTGAGATGTTAACTCTGCCTGTATTACAGAACTTGGCTTCAATGTTGGCTGAAGAAATAAAAGAGCCATCAAAGTTTGTGGGAGTTTGTATATGCTTACACTAGAATCTGGCTACTTTTAGATAGTGCTGAATGTAACAGGAAGTATAGAGATAGGTGAGGCAGGGGTCTTACAGGTGCTAAATAGTTATTTCACAGTGTTTATCAGCTTAGGGTGATTTCAACAAGCTTTTATCTGCTTCCTTTGTACATAACTTTATTTAAATGGAATTCTTCTGCAGGTGTGGAGGGACATTAAGCACTGCTACTCACCTGCCTGAATGTATCACTTAGCTTATGAACCTTGCCTTTTTCCCCCAGCTACCTATCCAAGTGAAGTAGTTCCTTCCTGTTTAATATAAAACTTCTAGAAAGTGTTAGTTCTTCAGGCCTTCTCAGCTCTCGGGGTCTTGCAAACATCAGGAGGGCACCCATTACATCATCAGGAAGGAAGAGGTGATTTAAGTTCAGCCATAGAAGGCACAGTTGGTTTTAAATTGAGTATTTAGCCAAATCATAAATAATTCTCTCTTTTGTTGTCATGAATACATAATGAGATATTTGAAGGTCACAGTGTCTTTTATGAATTAGTATGAATTAGGCTTCAATACATATTTGGATAGAATTTTCCAAGAGATGTAGGGTGGGGAAATGGTGATTGCATTGATTCTGTGTCACAGTAATATTATATTTTAGTTTTTTAAGAATCAGAATCTTTGTTGTGTACTATTTTTAGTTTGCTTCATTCTGTAGTTGTAGAAGACTGTCCTAAATATATCTTATTTCTAGTCTATATCATGCTGTTCTGTTGGCTGATACATTATGCTTGGTAGTTTGTTACAGTGGTGTATCTATGGGGGCTGCAGAAGCCAATGCAGATGAGAGTGGAAATTGTACCAGAAGATGCTTAAACTCTACGTTTTGTGTCTGTTTTAATGCATTTCAGGTAGGGATGACCAAAAAGCTGACTGCATTTTGTATTATGGTTTTGGAGATATATTCAGAATCAGCTCAATGGTAGTGATGGAAAATGTAGGGCAAGAGAAGCTGTACGATATGGTGTCTTACTGCCAGAATGCAAGCAAGTAAGTTACTATAGTGGCTTGATTGCTTAGTTTTTAAATAGGCTAATTTTGTTGTTAGTTTTTACAGGCTATTTAACAACAAACAAACAGCACAGTGTAGAGACACTGCCTTTGTAACAGAGTCTTGAGTTTGGGGTTTGTAGTTTACCTGCTTACTATGTGTACTCTTACACATAACTGTATGTTGATGTGCTGCTTGTTAGCTTCAGGATAATGTTATGGAAGATGTTACATTGACATAAAATATCTGTCAACAAACGGTGTTTGGATTTCAAATCCCATTCGGAACAATTACTGGAACATTGTGTTTTTTTACTCTAAGGTAACAGTGTTTAATGACCACAGAGGAATCCAGATGTGTTTAATGCTTTATCTGCTATACTGAGCTGTATTGAATACATCATGGAAAACACTTCTATGTTATAGACGATTCATGCACTCAATGCAGCCTTTGTTGGTCTTGTTCTAAGAATCAGTTTATATTATGAAGATCTTTTTCATTCTACTGGAATTGCAGATCATACTTATTTTTCTGCTTTAACAGAACTGTCCCCAGTGCAGTATTTACTATTACTGAAAGCTATTGATTTTGATTGCTCCTGTTAGCATGACTGACAGGGATTCTGTGTTGCAGTATTTGTCTTTACCTGGGACAATTCTTTATGCTTGTTTTGAGATACAAGCTTAACCAGAGGAACTTTTGCCACTTTTATGACTTGTAACACAAGTGTGTAAATTTATCTTCCATAGCCCCTCCTTGCTATTCTGTTCTTTCAGGTGTCGCCGGGTCCTCATAGCCCGTCATTTTGATGAAGTATGGGATTCTGCACACTGCAACAGAATGTGTGATAACTGCTGCAGAGAAAACTGTAAGTAAATTGTTTTTACAAACAAGGAGGGAGAACATGGAAAAGGTTGGCTTAAAAAAATCTAGTTTAAACAAACTGTAAGCAAATTCTGTAAAGCATGTTTAAGATACTGCCTGTTTCCAAGGTGCAACTTCTGTGATGAACATCAGTTTACAGTGACTTAGTGCTAAATACAGGGTGTTCAGCAGGATACCTCCTAGGTTGGCTTTTTGCATGATGCCAAACACTTGGTGTCTTTCAGACTTAGCAGTAAAATATCAGAGGATTTCAGTGCTGCATGCTCATGAGTCCTGAATTTGTCAGGAGTGTGCATGTGAGGCTTGTGCGCACTGAACACACTAATTCAGGATTTTTCTGTGTGCTAGCTCTAACAGCACAATGTCTGTCTGGCACGTGCTCTTCTTTTAGAAGAAACTTAGGTTTATAAGAGGGAAGTCATATGGGCTGTATATGCGTGGAATTTGGGAGAGGAACTGAAACAAACCTGGCTGCATGGTAGAAGAGGATGATTTCAGTAGAATGCAATCATCGAACACAAGTTCTTCTGTTGTTTTGCACACAGGCATCCTGGGGAATTACACTTTCTTTTTTCTTGTATACTTTTTGGAGGTAAAGTGGTCAAAACAAAGATGTTTAATTTTTTTTGCGTTATAAAGTTCTATCTATATAGTAAAGTTGTTTGGCAAAATCAAGGCTTAGGTTAAATTTATATTTGGCTCAGAGGTTGAAAAAAGTATGGATCTGGCTTGTACCCAAGACTTAAAGGTGCGATGTAGTGAAGTATAGTTGAAATATGTCCTGTTCTGCTGCTTTACCGTCAGGGTCTTTTGACAGATAAGTGAGGTCTGAGGAAACCTAGGAGTAGTACTGGCTTTTCAGTAGTTAATTTTTAGTATCGGAGGAAGGTATTTGGGGTAATTCTATGCCATGATTTGATCATGCAGTAGAAGCATGATCATTATGTTCTGCTTGGATATGTGTGTTATTGCTATGTAATAATTATTCATGATTAAGATAATCTGTATAGTGATGTTTTTTCTCTCTTGTCCGTTAGTGTTTTGAGAGAAGAAATGCCTTGAGTGTGTTCCTCAGTTTTTCTTTGACCTCTGATCCTTCCATAATAAATACTATGGGTGAGGAAAATGAATCCAGCTGCAGAATAATATAGTAGCTACTGTACAGAATACACTACAGAATAATATAGTAGCTACTGTACAACTACTATGCTTTGGAAGTGTTTCTTTGAAATAATTGGCAGTTTGTAATGTAAAAATTTGTAATATAAACCTGTAAACATGCTTGCAGGTGTTTTAATAACAAAGTAGAAAGATAAATGCAAATTTCACTGCAAATATATCCTACTTGGATAGATGAAAACTTACAGCTCTATTTGTTAAATTATAGTTTAAAAAAAAAAACAAACAACAAAATAAAACACAAAAAACAACACTTAAAGCATTGGCATTATATGGCAAATATATGCATATACAGAAAGATATATTTATACATGTAAAAGTGCTTGTATATACATACACCTAATGTACGTATGGGTACTATCTAAATAAATATATGTGATGACTTACAATTTAATATTATGTCATTTTTACTTGTAGCACTTGAGAAAATGGATATCACAGAGTACTGCAGGGATCTAATCAAGATACTTGAGCAAGCTGAAAACATGAGTGAGAAACTCACTCCACTGAAGTTAGTTGATGCATGGTCTGGGAAAGGTGTATCAAAATTAAGGGTGGCTGAAGTTATTCCACCAAAGCTCCCTCGAGAGGAAATGGAGAGAATCATTGCCCATTTACTGCTGCAGCAGTATCTGAAGTATGTATGGCAGTACTCCTTTCTTCTTGAACAACTAGTAGTCATTTTTCTTTATTGTCGTGTTGTTTCTCTACAATATTAATAGATATGTTCTGTAGTCTTGTATTCTGAAGTGTTTAATGTATTAAAAAAAAATACTGCTGCATTTCTACATGAAAATATTAAAATAGAAATACGTGCACTTGAAACACTGCATCTCTCACAAATTTAAAGATTTGGTGTCTTATGCAGTTAGAAGGCCACAGGAGGCTTCATTCCAGAGAAGTCTGCTGTTTTATATTGAGTATTATTTACATGCCATGTGTGAGCAAAGCAAATGGGATTGCCCATATAGAGTTTAAGTCAGGACAGGCTGGCTAATGTGGAGAGTGGTATTCAGAAATTTTAAGAAAGCACAGTGAAAATAATAGCAGTGCTTCTTGTGTCATCTAGTTTTTTGTGTCATATGTTTTTTCTTTTTATATAGTTTCAGAGAATTCCAAGAATATGCACAACTCAAACATTTAATACCATTTTTTCCTTGTTTTCCTGCATGTATTCCAAAAGATTGGGAAGTGTGTGTGTGTGCGTATCTATAGAAGTCCACAAATTAAGCTATGCTAATTATTGACCAGATTCACTCTAAATTAAGTGACTATCCACTTGGCTAGGTAAAGCAGAATCAAGCTGCTGTTTGGAACATCAATCAGAAGGGTTAACATATGTGTCCTGTTTTTTACTTGCATGCTTTATCCTGACTTTGTCTCCAACCTTCTGTGTAAAACTGATTTAATTTACGCAGGGAAGACTTCAGCTTCACGGCATTTGCTACAATATCCTACCTGAAGATAGGACCAAAAGCAGGACTGCTGAAAAATGAGGCGCACCACATCACAATACAAGGGACAACAAACAAGAAAAGTGTTCACAGGGTAATTATATCTGTACCAACTTGCTATATGTATACCTTTCCATTAGAGTTTTTTTTTTAAGAGGTTGGCATCTGTTCAGTTTATTTTGTATAATAATACAATCAACAGGATTTGAACTAGTCATCATCTTCTCTTTTGCATGGGAACACTAAGAAAGAAAACAAATGTTAGAATTTTAATAGAATTGTTTATAACTTACAGAATAAACCATCTGAGTCTTCAACTTCAAAAGGAAGTAGTGAAAACGCTCAGACTATTTCAGAGACTGTCCAAGATTCAGCAGTGAAGAAGTCACAAGAACGTAAACGGCATAACTGTGGATCTAACTTAAAAGCAAAGAAGTTTAAGCTTCAAGCAGGTGGAGATGACCAGCCAGTAGTTCTTGACTGAGTTGTACAGGTGACATTTAGGGTCTCATTCCATGGACAATTCAGTGTGTAAGCTCAATTTGTGTTTTAGTAATGGTATTTTTGTGTGCTTTTTAAATTAAATTTAAAATTTAATTTAAACAAGGATCTTTAGTGTCCTCAAGTCTAGAAAAAGTCTTGTGGTTAAGGGAAAATTGCTTGATATCAAAATAGTTGGGTGTATCTTATGATACTGCAATGACTGCAAACTGTAAGTAATTACTATGTTGCTTTTAACTCTTTTGGAAATCTAGTGTATAGAAACTACTATAGTAAATACTGCAGTCACATGTTGGAAGGGACTTTCAGAAATCTGATCCCAACCTCCTGCTCAAAGTGGGTCCAGTCAGAACAGTGTGCTCTGGGCTGTGTCCAGTAGAGTTTTGACTATCCCCATGGTTGGAGATTTTACAGCCTCTCTCAGAACCTGCTCTGGTGTTTGAGCAGCTTCATGCCAAAAAAAGAATAAAAGAAATTTCTTAGAGCTAATCATTATTTCCTGTATTGCAGTTTGTCTTTTGCCTCATGTCCTATCACTGTGCTCTTCTGAGAAGAGTCTGGCCCCATTGCTGCTATGCTCTTCCATTAGGAAGTTTAAGACAACGATCCCCTTCCACTTCAGCTTTTTTTCTCTTCCTACTCTGGAACAAATCCAGTTATCTCAGCTTCTCCTCCCCAAGTCCCTTGAAAGCTTTGCAGCCCTCTGCTGGAGTCAATAGTGTGTATTAATTTCTTTTAGGGTTCATAATATGCAATATGTTTACCCAGTCTATATAGTCATTAGTCCATTTCTCATTTCTAGCAATGAGAAAATTATGAGAGAGCATGTCAAGAGACTTGCTGAAGTCAAGGTATCCCTCAAAAATTACTATCCCCATATTTGCATGGGCAGTTAGCTCAGTCAGTTGGGCTGATCAGCATGGTTTGCTAAGGTAATGCTGACTGGCGAATTCCAGAGATCCTCCTTTTTGAAGACAGGAGGGATGTTTGCAAGGAGGGAGGCAGAAAAACTGAATTCCATGTTGAATGGTCTCTGGGCATAAAGTTGAACGTCGGAAGACCTTGATGTAGTAGGTGCAAAGGGACAGAAGATAAAAATAATTGTTGAGTTATTCTTACCTTGATAAATTTGGAAAAAAAAAAAAAAGAGTTGCTAGCATTTGGTAACTGGTAGAGTCTTTTGCAGCTACCAAGAATTATAAGCACTATTGCTTTTACTTCCACTTGCATTTGTCAGGTTTGGCAGTAGGAATAGCCTTGTTAAGACAATAAGCCTGAAGAGCAGCCACGTCTACACTTTCAATTCTGGTAAGAGCTGCTGGGCTTCTGTTCCGTTTATGCTTAACATTTAAGCAGTGCTTAAGTTCAAAGATACACATATCATGGTTATGTATTAAAAGTATCTTTGAACAACTTGAAGGTTGAAAATAAGAGCCAACAGGTAATGTCCTTTTGAAATTTGATGTGCTTTTAAATACTTAATACAAATTATTGTACTGATTCTTTGTACTCTTTGGCTACCATTAATAAGGTAGATACTGTATGTGCTTACTATTTTGTTTCAAAATTTTAAGAACTTCAGTAAATCTTAGCACTCTTCTTGTCATTGCATTCAAACGCCTAAGGCTAGAACATTTGTTTACAGATTCATTTACTCTGACAATCAGAAGTAAATGCTAAGCTCCCACTAGCTTGTAGTTCTGGTGACTTCAGCTTTCTTCAAGTGAAAATTTAGCCCTTTCTTTGCCCCAGGGTTCTGGATTTCCCCTTTCTCCTAAACTAGAAAATGAGGTATATTGACACACTAATACCAGGACTACAAAATGTTGTTGGGTAAATTCATTAACCTGGAAATTACCCTCATCAACTCCTTTGAAACTGATCTCAGCTTAGAGCCTTGTAGGCACCATTATCTTACGTGTATTTAAAGGCACCAAACCCTTCAGCAGATAACCTTTGACAAGATTTTCTTTGGCTGAACTGCACTTGCAGCTTGGATCAGTAACTTCTACTTTTTCTGCTAGTCTTAAATGCAGTATGGTAGCTGTATGTTTATGTTGTTACCACCATTAAAGTAGCTGATTTGAATATGCATCAATTCTAGCTGAACTGGAAGTAGTTTAGAGCTGTTTCCTTAAAAGGCTGCTCAGTATTAGTTGCAACATTTTCAACTTCTCTTCTTTGCCACCTACTTAATGAAATTACCTGAAAATAAAGATTGCTAGTGATTTAAATCTACTCCACCAAAGCCTTATTCCGAGGTTGCTGCTGAACACAGAACATTCTCTAAATGTTTATAATAATTAGTCAAATGTAAATACCAACCTTTTCTTTTTATATAGTTAAAGGTTCATTTTGATACACTAAGTAGACAGGAAGAAAGTGATACCCTTTTCTAAGCAATAAGCAAACCCCCTGACTTAGCCTTGTTTCAAATTCAGGCAACCTGAAGTAGTGCTTAAAGAGTACAGATACTTTTTAGTACATCCAAGTGTCAGTGTATGTTAAGAGCTTCACTTCTTTTGCAATGGAGGGCTCAGTAAGTGCTTTTTTTTAGAACAATGTATGTTTATACAATTATTATCTTCTGAATTATTTAAAATGTATCAGTATCTTCTTGGTTTATTCCTACTTTGTGTTATGTAATTATGTGCCAGGAAGCCTTTTTCTTTTCAAGCCTAACATTACCTGTAATGGAGGAATTCAGCTACCTGTACCCCCCTGCTGACTCAGCGGTGGCAGTGAGTCCCTGTCTCTCCTCGACAATCTCTATGGACTTGGGGAAATCTTCACTTGCTGCACTTTTGCATCCCATTTCAGAGGGGCTGCAGACAGCAGAAGAATATATTTCTACTACACGTACAGCTAAGTAGTAGTTGACTTCCTTAAATGCATGTGTACATTAGTATTTTCAGAAAAAGGTAACCATAGGAGCAGCTGTTGGGTCTTTACCACTGACTGCAAGAACTAGTTAGGCACACAAGAGGCTGAATAATCTATTTGCTAGATTTTTATTTATTTTTTTTAAGATTTTAGCAGCCAGTGATCAATAAGCTAAAGTCAAACTCATTATAAACTTAGGTTCTGATTGTCTAGTTGGTTTCATTTTGGATACATTCAGGCATACAGATGTGTATCAACTTACATATTTTAAAACAAAAAAAAACATCTCAGATAATTAAAATAAACTCTTCATCTTTATTTTTCTGGTATAATCTTTTGACTGAAGCTTAAGAGTTTCACCTATCATTTAATTAAATCCTTTGCCAAAAAGGGAATTAATTAATTTAATTAAACAGTCATTCTCTTCTAAATAATTTTAGTGATTTTTCTGGGAAAAATCCCAACATGTACCACCAACTTCATACAATGAATTGTTCCCAGTTTAAACCTAAATCTATCATCCCTATCAACTTTGCACTTAGGGTCATGCTCCTGTAGCTAGGCTTTCCAGCATTTAGAAGTCTGCCAAATAAGCTGGATGCAGCAGCCTGCTCCACAGGATTCTGACAATGTGGAGGAAGTTCAGTCACTGAAGGCAGGTGACAGCCACCAGTGGTACAGTGTTAACCTTTCCTTGGAGTGAACCCCTGCAGTGGTCCAGTTGAAAATCACACAAGATGCACTGGTGCAGCTTTACAACCAATACCTAGAGAGCTGAAGTGACAAACAGTTTAAAAAAAAATAAATACTGCTCTCAATTAACATCTCAAGGACACTTCATCCTAGCTTTCATAGTTCAAAGATTGTGTTCTGCATTTATCTGAGTAGAAAATACTTGTCTTTTAGAAATTAAGTTATGGAAAAAAGGAAAAAAAATTATACAGCTTGCTGTATATTTGTAAACCACATTCCAGGTGGCAAGAGCTCTGAGTGCCCTGTGCCGTAAAGATTTGCCAGCTTGCAAGAGACAGTGTAATCAGCTGTAAGAAGAGACTTGAAACCTTCAGCAAGTACTCAAAGGTTTGAGCAGTGGAAGGATGCTAGTGGAATGGATGGTAGCACATTATACACGTAGGTAATTCTTCCCCAAGCAAGAATGCACTGGATTTAACATGTATCACATAGAGTTTTGTTTAAGTTCTTTTCAACGGTGAAGGCTACCCTGCATTCAGGTAAATGCAGTGCTATCTTAACAGCATAGCAAAGCTTGCTTTTTAGGAGTGTTGTTCTGATGTTCTCGTCTAACATATATCAAAATTCACTGTCAATACTAATTCACGTGCCTTTGTTCCTGTGCTTGTACACAGATTGCCAATTTACTGAAAAGCAAATTAGGGTAGTACTAACACAAAATCCTAATAAGGAATTGCACTTATCCCTGATTTCTGGTAATCCCAAGGAAACAGTTTTATCAGCCATTAATCAGTGTCAAAATGTTATACAAAATGGAAATGGGTTTTCATTCAATCAAAATAATCTTCTATATCAATATCTGGATTCAGGAGATCTTCACCATAGGCTGAAAGATCCATTTGATTTAAAATCAAGTTTTCAAACGTTTCTTCCAAGTCTGTTTCACCGATCAGCACAGCGCCCATCATTCGTCCATTCTGCATCACCACTTTAACATACTCTTGTCCCTTAGTACATCTCAGCATTAGTTCATGGTCTAAACCCAAGCCTTGAGCATTGTATTTTCCCAAAACCACCACCTAACAGAAGGAAAAAGAAAAGTCAGTCATAAGAACATTGCAGTGGCTTTTAGTATTTTCACTGGTAACAGTTCTAATGATATAAACATGGAAATAATTGCCCCTAGAATAAAATATAAATAAAAAATCCCCCTTTCACTGGCTTTCAGAGCTACAGTATAATTAAAAATCCTTCACCTAGAAATGTTATCACTAAAAACAATAATGAACCAATTACCATGCTGAATTGTATTGAATTTCTTTATGAGCAGAATCTTAATAAAGTAAGATGCATGAAGAGATAATGAAATAAAAAATATATGCAGAGTTGTGAAGTAGATCAGCTGGTATTCACCAATTAAAATTTATAATATGTCTGTATATACCTTGTCCTCTTTGGTTTCAATATTCAAAGTCAGTGTGAAGGGAGAAAATCAAAGATTAATTATTATATAGAGAATGCCGTTTCATCGATATCATAGAATCAAGGAATGGCTTGGGTTGGAAAGGATTTCAAAGACCATCCAGTTCCAACCCCCCTGCCATGGGCAGGGACACCTCCCACTAGATCAGGTTGCCCAAAGCCCCATCCAGCCTGGCTTTTAACCCCTGCAGGGATGAGGCATCTGCAGCTTTTCTGGACAACCTATTTCAGTGCCTTACCACCCTCTGAGTGAAGCATTTCCTCCTAACATCTAATCTAAATCTCCCTTCTTCTAGTTTAAAACCATTCCCCCTCTAAAGCATCTGCTCAGTGTTAACACGTGAATATAAACAAGCAATACCTGTGTTACTCAGGGGTTTAAAACTGATAGAGTGTATTTACTTTACCTTGTAATTGAAAAATTTTGTTACATGAGCAAACAGTTCGAAGCTGAAATCCAGATCAATAGATTCCCCTAAAGCATCTGCTGCCATGCATTTTGCTGCATACCATCCCATCTGCCTAGCTTGAGTCCACAGTCTCATCTAAAAAAAATAATAAATAAATACACAGATATGTGTCACTGTGCAATGAATGAAGCTCACTGTTCTCTTCAGTGCCCACTACATATTTTTGTTACGGTCAGAAAGGCTGAACAACTTGGTTTTCAGCCACAGAGATAATTTTATCTACCATCAACACACCCAGGATTGTCTATTTACTGGTTTCCAGTTCAATTAAACATTTTCTCCCATCTGTGTAACTGTGAGTAATTTACTTTGTAGATCGCATTGCTGCTGAGCACACAATTGTATAATTTGATTTACCTGATGCCACACTGGACTAGGTTCCCACGACGCTGTGCAGATATCCCCAGCTGCATAGATATCTGGCAGGGACGTTTGCATGTGTTTATCTACTTTAAGACCTCCATCTTCACCTATAGCAAACTAAGTATTGAAGTAAAATAGTAATTTTGAGTGATTTAACTTTAATTTTAACGTTAAGTGGTTGACTCATTTGCATTTTAATGGCAGACTTCCCTACAAAATTTCAGTAAATCCACTACTGCTTAATTGAAACATTTGAAGATATAAAGTATGAATTAATACTACGGGAACACAGCAAAATGCTCTTCTACTTTTCATTTAACAACAGAGAAAGAGGAATTTGGTGTAAACGATCTATGGCTGTTCATTCTCCCATCTAATCTGATTCAACTAGAAAAGACTGATAACCCTAAGAGAAACACATTCAAACATCAGTCTTCAGGCTTCTTCATTTTTAAGGGAATGAAACTGATTTCCCTGAAGAATGCCATAACAAAGTATTTTTTTGCAGTTATCCCTATAAAAAATATTCTACATATTAGTAACACAACCCAATCCCCTGCAGAATTTATCTCTAGTCTGGTCAAATCTTCAAATAATCCAAACCAAAATTAGCCTACAAAAGTAGAATTTCCTCCCAATCCACACATTTTTTTCTCACCATGTTTAAGAACAAGTCAGTGTTGCATTTCACAAGTGACCTTCACATACCCTTTAAAATAATTCAAAGCTCCATCTATTAAAAATACCTTATAGTAGCATCGCATACTGAATAAAATTATTGAACAGAGTGGCAAGAGCTCCATGGTAAGACACAAAACCTTAAGTATTATTTTTAGAACACAGCACAGGTTTCCAACATTATTATTACTGATACCTGGCATGGATGTAACAGAGCATGCCAAAATTCAAATATGTTGCAGGGACATCTAGTCTTAAAGTTCATTTTTTATTTTTTTATATATAGGCCAGAAATACTATTGCAAACATCTAATTCACAGAATCACAGAATTTCTAGGTTGGAAGAGACCTCAAGATCATCGAGTCCAACCTCTGACCTAACACTAGCAAGTCCTCCACTAAACCATATCACTAAACTCTACATCTAAACGTCTTTTAAAGACCTCCAGAGATGGTGACTCCACCACTTCCCTGGGCAGCCTGTTCCAATGTCTAACAACCCTTTCGGTAAAGAAGTTCCTCCTAACATCCAACCTAAAACTCCCCTGGCGCAACTTAAGCCCATTCCCCCTCATCCTGTCACCAGGCACATGGGAGAACAGGCCAACCCCCACCTCGCTACAGCCTCCTTTAAGGTACCTGTAGAGAGCGATAAGGTCACCCCTGAGCCTCCTTTTCTCCAGGCTGAACAAGCCCAGCTCCCTCAGCTGCTCCTCCTTGAAACATTTAATGGTTCAACATTAGTGCATGTTTCCATAATTTTCTTCTGCTTTTTTCAGAGGATAGTGTTTTACTTCCTAATTGAAAGGAACTGCAAAACACCAAATATCCTACCATGGAGACAGAATGATTTCAAAGCCTGAAAATTCACATGGCAGCTACAAACTCTGTAATCACCAGCCATTTTTTGGTTTAACGTGTGACTTCCCTTGATAAATAATAGCACCTTTAAACGTCACTTTCCTAGATGAAAACTACTGGAAATGCCTTCTTCCCAGCAGAAAATTTAAAGATTTTAAAGACAAGTGTATGGGGCACAAGTAACACAAAAATGCTTCTACATTTTTGCTGCATTAGCCACCAATTACAGAAATGTTTTCCTCTCTTTTTATAGGCTTAATCTTAACAGTGTATATTGTATCTACCGATACACTGTGTGTATATATCATGAGTAGCAATATAATAAACCAAGAATGCTAATGAAATTCGTTTTTATCCTAAGATATTTCCAGTATCAACATACCTACCTTATTTTGAGATGCTGTGCATTCAAAACCTCTCAAATCACTGTTTCATGTCAAAAGAAATGTAAACCAGTTGGAAGAACTCCCCTTCCTTAAAAAATCCCACAGTTTAAACTTCAAAGTAAATCAGCATACTTACATTATTGCCATCAAGAAATGGTTTGACATTTGGCACAACACCAGTTGCACTGACAATGAAATCGCATCCGTAAATTTTTCCATTAGTTAATTCCACATATACAGGCCATAGCACTGAAAAAGTGGAAAATTTTGCGTAGAGAATGTAACCAACAGAAGTTACTTTATTATTTATGTCTTATGGTAAGACATGAAATAAACAAGAAAAAAAAAAGAGATTTCAAGTTTATTAGCTACGAAAATAATAATACCCACAGAGATTACCTATAGCACTTCTTACTTTCATTCAGGACCAGAAAATGAGAGTTGGAGCTTAGTTCCCTACTATTAGCTTTCTCTGGAATTGTGTTGAATCAAATCCCTCATTTATTGGGCTGTCACAAGAACAAACATTCTGCACATAGTAGCTAGGTGATTTTGTGGAAGAAGGGTCTGATTCATTGCATTTTGTAATTTAATTGTAGCCCATAAATATTCAACTGCTATAAATTGCTAAAGCTCCATTTAATTTACAGAAACAAAGGACTGTTTTTCCAAATTTGCATTTCCTTTAGCACAAGCAATCAAGATCAAACATGCTCTAGCATTGCTTCATCTTCAACATGCTTTTCTAATCAGCACTGGCACACTTTTTTTTTTGTCACACCTACCCTCATCTGGTTCTACGTTCTTCTCTTCTTTAGGAAAAGCCAAAGACATCTGTTGCAGTTGTAAAAATTCTTGCTGTAAGTGTATTTTCTTTACTTCACATAGTTTTTCAATATGTACTTTATGAGAAAACTAAAGAAAGTTTGTCAAAAATGTAAACATAATGATTAACAATATTTTTAATAGCAAATGCACCTTCACCTAAACTGAGGCGTTACTAACCTGAGAAAAAGAATTACCATGTATCGCATCTTAAAGCATTGCACATTAGCCAAGTTCTCACACTCTTTCAGATCTGTCATAGATCTAAACACAGTAATCAGTAATTTAAATAGGTGCTGAAAAAGCATATGATGGTCCTTTAAATATCATGACAATGTATAGATTTTTTCTAGCATGCCAGAAAGCATATTCCAGTTCCCCTGAGTTTATAAACAGGGAATACAGAACTTATCAGAACAGACAAAAAAAAAAAGTCAATTGGTCTTTCCTGTCTTTCAGGATTTCAAATCCTTCCATTTTCTATCACGAATTAAATTCTGATAACAATAATCACTTTAGGTTTTAAATGTTGTAAAAAGAGAAAAAGAAGGTATCATTTCCACATTTCCACAGCCTTTAACGGCCATTAATCTGTGAATATCCTGAACATCCTTTAGTTAGTACTGTAAGGACATCTCTGTAGAATCTATAACTGCTCACTATCTGAAGACGATGCTTGTATGCACTGGTGATTTAGCATTTCATTACCTACTGTAACAGGAGACTGTACGTCTGTACAAATTCTACTGTCCTATTTTTTCATGTATTAAACTATACATAAGGCAGATACAATTAAAAGAGCGGAGGTATCACTGCTTCTTTTTAAAGCTAGGATTGACACTAGTCCTGAAGAAATGTGCAAGCCAACATTTATTTCAATATGAATAGAAAATTGATGAAACCATGGCAGTAGATCTGATTTATTACCTCCCTCCTGAAACAGAGAACAATTCTATTTGTGTTAACATACTTTCTGATGTGATTCTGATGAGAGAATCGGTTCAAACTCAACTATTTTTCTTGTTCTAATAACCCTAAATGTTATACTTCATAATCATAAATTCTGTAATCCTTATCAATTTAAAGCAACAGTTAAACAAATGTAAGCAAGGTTATGACCATACCTCTTTAGTCCCTTTAAGATTTAAGCCCTCATGCCAGTCGGGGCCTAAGGCACTGCCCACTTTGTCAGATACTGCTACAGGTCTTTCTTTTTTCTCACTTCCTGAAGACAAAGAATATCAGATTTAGCATATCCACTTCATTGCCCACAGAATTCAGAACAAGGATTCACAATTAAGAGAAATACAATCTGATTGCCAAAAGGGAAGACAAAAACATCTAACAAACAAGGTAAGGTGAAGTCCCAAACATGGTTAATTGGCAGACAAATCAGACTCCAAACCAGTATTTTTGGCACTTTTTGGTTTTATGCCTTTCACTACTTACTCACCTCTGAACCAACCATGCACCGTTAGGTACATGCATGGACCCGTAAGAGCTACAGGATCCCCAACAGCTTCTGAGGCACTGGAGTTCTGGAGTCCAGCTGTGAACTCAGTTGCTTATTGTCAGTGCTAATAGTGAAACTGATGTCCATCTGCTAGCAAATGTGCACTAAGTGGCTTCCACTGCATGAGGCTGCAAATTCTAACATGATGATACAAGTGAAGAATACTGGGTGTCACTTTGTGACTTTCAGGCTGACTCTTTTAAAACTTACTCTTCCAACCTGAAGTCTAGAAACATGCTCTTCTTTTTATTATAGGTCATATATAGGTCATATATATGTTTGTGTAATATTTGCTCATGCAGTTCTAGTTAACTGCTGCTACAAAGAATGCAGCTTCATTGAATTTGTAAAAGTTCTGTGAGGTTTCATCTGATCCTCCGATAGCTTAGTGTGGGACAGCACCTTCCTTCATAATGCTGACATAATTCAGAAAAACATTAAAATATGTCAAATAATAGAGAAGGTACTTCAGCAGACTGAATACTGAAAATCAAATTTAAACTTGGCATAGACATAAAGATAACTAATACTGCAAAATGTGCTGTTAACATGCTGTCATATGTCTACATTAATTGAGTGAGTTTTTGCATTGCCTTTTTTTTTTTTTTAAGAAGGAAGTTCCACTGGTAACAATAGTAAGCTATTTATGGTCTGCTAAATTAACTCATTTCAGGGCTATATTTAATATTAATATACATATTATTATATGTATATATTATATACATGTAAATATTTATAATATATAATAATATATAATAATATAAAAATATATTATAAATATTTAATATATATATAATATGTATGAATATATTTAATAATTAATATTTTTAATGCAGCTGCTGCAATGCTAGGAGACTAAAACAACATACCTTCCATTGTATACTTGGTTCTTTTACATTCAATTGGAGTCTCCCGTTTTTCAGCAGTTAGCTTTGGAATAAGAAATTCAGCTGCTCCTGCATCAAAAAAGGTGTTCCCAATGGCTTTGTCTTTGATAGCCCAGATTACTTCACAGCCTTCAATTTCATACCTGCATACATTTAAACAATGGATAAAATGACAGACTACCCAGAAAAGGATTTATGAGTCTTAGCAAGACCACTAGAATTGTGCAAGGTTAATTTCAGAAGCTACAAATAAGGGATCCAAGACTTTCAAACCTATAAAATCTACTACAGGTTCTGATTATTCACGTAAAGAAACCATAAAAAAAAATCTTCAAATTAGCAGCTTATACTTTCTCAACAGCACATCTCAACTGAACACAGGGCAGAAAGGAAAGGCAGACTAAGATTGTAATAATAATACTTAGTATTTCCTGTTCCCTGCAGTGAAAAAACAAATGCGTCTTTTTGTCCAGACTGCCCACTGCTGGTGACAGGCATTTAGATCTTGTTTGTATCCATCAGAAAAACTGCAAAGATGTATTATCTGAAACATGAACTAGACTGCAGATAATGATTTACAGAATCATAGAATCATCTACGTTGGAAAAGACTTCCAAGATCATCAAGTCATCATCAATTTAGTAGCTGTCCAAGTTAAGCACCGATTCCCCGCAATGCAAAACAAGAATACGTAATTGTATAATACAGATGTTTCTGCAATCTATCAGACTGTCGGACCCTATGGCTTGATATCCTACCTGTGACAAAGGTCACATCAGACACTTCAGAACTCTACCAAATTAAATTTGGCTGGATGCAAGATAAGCTGCCTCTCTATTCCTGTTACCTCTTCTGTCTCCACAAATCAGGCAAGTTTTATAATTTAAATATTGCTCTTTCTATCCTAAACAAATTTCTGTTGGTGCCAAGTTAGAAAAACACCGTATATTCTTGGAATCTTGAATGTTAAAGCTTCTTTTGAAACTTTATGAATTTTATGTGACAGTAAGCTCCACCATATGGTGAAAAATGGTTCTTAATCAAATTTTATTACTAAGTGCCTTAAGAACTATAACTTTATTGTACATCAACCTTCTCCCAAACTCACACAGACAAGATTTAACATCAAATTGGTAAAGATTTTATTTGCATATGTATGTTTTCAACTTAGTAGTTTACTTACACTAATTCAAGTGCAATTCCACCATTTCCTACCACCACTATTCTCTGAGCTTGGGCCAAATGCTTCTGAAAAGCCTGCGTTAGAAAAGAAAAAAATTAAACCCCAACTAATGAAATACATCCTTTCTATTATTTTCTTGCCCTCGGTCTTTTTATTTTGATTTTTCTCAGGCTACTCATATACATTCACTTATACTAAGAATATGTTGCAGAAACTTCACAAGCCTGTGAAGTTTTATCACATTAAAGGCTAAAGTTATTTCCACAGCCTTTTAAGTCTCAAACTGAGCCAGAAGTAATTACATTTAAACAAAATCAACAGAGCCAGTAATAGAATCCAGAAAATATTTCTCTATTATAGAGACCGCTAGCATTATTATACCTATCTATTAATCCAATTTTATCATAATTTGTAAAACTTCCCCAATAATTTGTACAACACTAAGAGAACAAAGATAGAGACATTTAGCAATTTAAAAATCCCTGATCATAATTCAGGAATTTAAACAATAATTTGTAGCAGATCTGAGAACCAGCTTTATTTCCCCAAAAAACTTTTAAAAAGAAACAAGTCTCCAAATCACATTTTAGTGTCCAGAGAAATAAAAGAAACGCAACCCAATACAACTTCTTTTTTTTTGATTATCCTTTTTAAAACCAAACCAAACCTCAGGTAAAGTTTTAATACCTGAAACAAACCACAACAGTAATTTCATGGTTTCACCTCAATTTGCTTGAAAAGGTATCTCCTTTTTTTTGTCATTTGATGAACTACAGTGCTCACGTTATGGAGAAGCAGTGTTTACTTTCCTTGTTCCTCCTCTCAATCTGAAGATCGATAGCAGTCAAACTTCACTTTCTATTTCCACACTGAAGTATTAGCCTATTAAGTCATGTGAAAACTTTTCCACATCTTTGTCTACAATTGTAGCTCCATTCTGTACAGTAAGGAGAGGCTACACTAGAACCTGAAGAAATCAGTCCTTCAGTAGCTTTTCACTGTGAAAAGCAGCCCTTCATATTGTTCACTAGATGCACCTTTTCAAGTTAGTTTCTACTGGTGCCTACCTCCTGTTTATATTTTCAAATCAGCTTCTGCCTGGAAGGCAAAGGAACAAACACCACTTGTTCCAGATTTTCGTGTTACAAACACTATGAGCCATCTATAAATGTAATAAATTTAGTGACTAATTATTTAATGCTATTTTAAAGCTATTTCTCTGTTACTGAAAATGTTCTTAGTTAAAGATATATAATAAAAACCAGCACCTTATGTTTCTACATTTCATTCTGCATCCATTTTTAGTGTTTTGCATCAGAAGCACAAATATATTCTGTAGGTGTAAGTCCAAAGAGCATTTACCTGTGCACTGTCAGTATCCCGGATTCCTAATACATATGGATTTCCTTCAAAAATTAATTTTGGTATTGCTCCAGCACATAGGCAAAGTTTTTCATACATATACTCTTTCCCATCTTCAGTGAAAATTTTCTGTTAAAAATTAAGAAGAAAGAAGAAACTAATGGAGACATCTAAGAGAACATTATCTTTTTTTCCTGAATATTTTACTATTTTGCAGATATTAAAACCTGTAAGTAGTTTCTTAAAAAATCTCATTCTCTCATTATGTGTTACTTTATTTGCATTACACTCACTACAAACTTACAAGTCTAAGTATACAGTATATTATGACCAATAAGGTGGAACATGTACGCTTAAAGACAGATGAAATATTAAGATTACCTCTTGGTGGCACTCTCTACTCACTATCTGTGCTGACATAATCAGTTTTCTGTGATTTTATGTCCCCCCCACCCCAGTAATAGATGTAGACCTATGCACTGCTATATAACAGCAATTAAGAATCTCATTCAAAACATTTAAACAACTGTAGAGTTGTGTTAATTAGGTACTGGATAGAATACAGTTTAGAAATACTGCAAGTTCTGTTGTTTGCTAAAGACAAAGGGTAGGCACTAAACAAGTTACATCATTCTGCAGCAAGAAATATTTAAAGCTTAACATGATTTTTTTCTTTTTTTGTTTCCGTATTAGAAGCTAACTAGTTTACAGTTAGTTACAGTTGCACAAAGGGACTTTTTAAAGATTTGGGGATAACAGGCAAAAGATCCTTCAAATCCACATACGTGATATATTGGAGTCCATACAAACTAAAATAAAACAATATAATAATGAGGCTACAATAATATAATCGGATTCAGAACATTAATAGCATTATAATCTGACTGAAATCATAGTTCTGCAACTTAACAGGAGAAGGAACAGTTCAGAATCTGAATGTGAATTTCTAATAAACACTGAAATGAAAAAAAATATGTCAAGCTGACTTGGACTCTAAATAGGACCTGCACATTGCTCATACTTGCAACATTTTTCTTGTTAAAAAGAAGAAATGTTGGAAATATTGGTTCTTCTGAGAATTCATTTTCTGTGCATCATTAAGTTGTTATCATTTGGTCTCTGTAGCAACAAGCAGTAATTTAGGAACCACAGAGACCTCCAGTTAGGGGTGACAGAAATTTTCTGACACCTATACTGGTATACAATATTGGTTTCATTGTCAGTTTTCCCTCCTATTCCAATCAAGTATGCTACGCCATAGATCTAAAGTGTCAAAGAATTAAAGCTAGAAGATGTGGTTTCTTAATTAACAAGCAATTTTTGATCTATAATTACATCCTCTGTAGATATTTCTACTCAAACAACAGCGTAAGTGATATGTAAAATTAGTCAGCAGGTATTCTCTCCAATTTTAGTAACTTATGTTTTAATAACCAGAATGGTCTTGAACAGAATTTCATGCCAAAAATATTCAAGTGTTTCTTAGATGTAATTTTTTTAATAACTTGAAAGAACACACATAGGTAAAAGAGAGAAAACAGTAGCTTACATGCTCATCACTCTTCAACTGTTTTACTCCAGACTGTATAACTTTAATATTGGTATATCGTCTTTCTAATAAGGAACTTGGTTGCTCTTCTACATCAAATTCCTCAAGCGTTTTGGAGATCTGTAGGAATAAGAGACAGATTTAAAAATATGAATAATATATCCATGTTTACTTCTGAAATTTGCAACAAGATGTTTTATGTTCATTTCCAATAAAGAAGTCAAAACAATTGTGTACAAACATGTTCGTGTGACACTGCTAAAAGTACTTTTTTATGTATAGAATCTTTTCATGCACATCCCTGGTAAAGAGTCAAAGTAATACACAGAATTCTCATTCAAAAGCTATTTAACTTGATGGATGCAGTAACTGCTATAGTGGTTTGTATTATTAGAATTGTCAGCATTGCTTTTTAAGTTACCTGATGCATTTCTAAGACCTACATGTTCTGCTTGTTAAACTTTGATAGAATAACGTGAGGTTACACATTACATGGTGAATGGTCTGGAACACAAGTCCTATGAGGAGCGGTTGAGGGAACTGGGGTTGTTTAGTCTAGAGAAGAGGAGGCTCAGGGGAGACCTTATTGCTCTCTACAATGATCTGAAAGGAAGATGTGGGGAGCTGGGGGTCGGACTCTTCTCACAGGTAACTAGTGACAGAACTAGAGAGAATGGCCTCAAGTTGCACCAGGGGAGGTTTAGGTTGGAAATGAGGAGACATTTCTTCTCAGAAAGAGCAGTCAGGCATTGGAATGGGTTGCCCAGGGAGGTGGTGGAGTCACCGTCCCTGGGGGTGTTCAAGGAGAGGCTGCTGGTGCTTAGGGACATGGTTTAGTGGGTGACACTGAGAGTAGAGTGATGGTTGGACCACATATCTTGGAGGTCTTTTCCAACCTCAAGGATTCTATGATTCTGTGTTCCCCCATGCAAGCACCTTCCTCCCTTCCTCTCATGGGTATTCTGGGGGAAAAATTCCCATTAACAAAGTAGTGTAATAAAGCTTCAGTATAAAAGCAGTAAGCACTTCAATCATGTAAGTACCCAGTTCAATCTTTTCTTACTCACTAATATTGTGAATATAATTACGAACCACTATAAAATAATGCTCATAAGCATTTGCTTATAATCATAAACATTTTCAGGATTAAATTCTGAATTTTCTGTACATGTACAAGCTTCTGAAGAGCTATTACCATAACAAAAATTAAAGCTCTCTTACCTGTTTGAAATTTGTTACAGCTTTTATAACTGGAGAAGCTGTCACTAAAAAAATGTCTTCTGATGGGAATTCCACAGCCAGCTTATAAAGAAATAGAAATCATGATGAGCAAATAATTATCCATAGAATTTGACTTAAAGACAGTAAAATTATTGGAGAACAGTAATATGCATTGCTACCTTACATTAGTCTCATCTAACCATAATTGCTGTTTCAAGATTAGGGAAGAATGAGACAGAATGACTGAAACAAATGGAATTTGGAGACCCAAGATTTTAATTCATTCACATACAAATACATCTTCAAGAACTGCAGTCACTGTAAAAATGACTATTCAAAAGACTATTCTCACAATTTTCTAAAGACCAACTGTAGGACGACTATGATCACATGATTTGTGGAGACTCCCAACTGCTGGAAGTACTTTTTTTTATTAAGTACTAGTGACTAAGTGTTCACAGATTTAATTTTCACAGAGAAAATATTGATTCCTATTGGTTATTTTAAATGCAATTTACTGAACTGCTAAGAGGATCATCACCTTCAGAGTGTTATAGGCAACACACAACTCTTACAGGCCCCAAGCCAAAGTGCAGAATCTCCATCTTAAATGCTGCATTGCTCCACAGCATATAAAAAACCTCAAGTACAAACCACTCATCTCCGAGGCACTAGCAAAACCCACAGTTCCTTGTTACCTGTATTCTACATGTTAACGGCATGGTTATATAAGCTGCCAGGACACATGTTTCATGTCATACATGTGTAATTGAGCTATAAAGAGAATCACATATATCCTTGAACTTCTGATACAAGGAGTCTAACATAATAATCTGAAGGTCAAAGTTTTTCAACATTGTAGTAGATTTAAGGGAGATTAACGTGGCCATACTCTGGGCATAAAAACACAGATGAATTTAGTGAGGCTATGTGAAAACTTTATGTAATCCACACCTTATAGCACAAATCCCTAATATGTATTTCATAACTATTGTAGCTGTATGCTTTGTATTGGCAGAAAAAAGAAAGGTTGACAAGTTCATGCAACAGAATAGCACGATGTACTTCTGCAGCTGCTCCCATCTGTACCTAATAAATAAGCTTCAGAAAAACTTCAGAATGCCACAGGCAGCATGTGATTAGGTAATCATCATCAGATGTGTTTCAGAGTTTTTTAGACTGACATTATGTCCTCTGCATCACTTACACATACTCTAATGCTTATACCCTCCTCTTACTATAATTGAGTAGTTGTGTGACATTTTCATTCAGTGTCATTGAAGTTGGTGCATTATCTTTTAAAATACTAAAATTAGAAATCTGCCAGATAGAATATTAAGTTTATCCATACATATGTACACATGCAAATCATCATAAATCAGAAAGAACTATTACAACATAAACATGGAAAGTAGAAATTATGTAAGACGTAGAATCATAGAATCATTAAGGTTGGAAAAGACCTCCAAGATCATCCGGTCCAATCATCACCCTACTACCAATGTCACCCACTAAACCATGTCCCTAAGTGCCACGTCCCAAAACCTAAAACAACAACAACAACAACTCAACAGATTTTAAGACATTCTGTCAGGCTGTTTTGAAATGTACTTTAAAAGTACCTAATTCCAAGTCAACTTTTTAAGACAGACCTGAAACAATGATTGTTCTCATTTAGCAGCGTGAGAAGCCTGAACTACAAGGCATCATGTACATACATACCCAAACTTTAATATGATGGAGAAGTTGTTTATTGCCACTACTATATTCCAGGGAATCTTACTTGTGCAGAATCAGGACTGAGAAAGATTGTATTCAATCTTCCCCTTTTATTTCTGTATTATTCTGTGATTCTATATTACCTCCAGGCAAACATAGTCTCCTGGACTATTAAATATTGACCCAAACCTTATTCTTGCTAGCACTTAAGGATACACAATACCTTTAATTCTGTGAACAGTTTAAACAATTTTTAGCAATTACTCATATTAATGTAGTATTTAAGTGCCTGTAGTATTAGAGCCCACATATTGCATCAACTGTGAACAAAATCAAAGGAAAAACAACTAGTAGGTGGTAGAAACCAAAACCAATTCCATACAGGTGGAAAACAATCATTTTTCCCTTGTAATTTATTCTACATTTGGTTTACATAAAATGCCTGAAATTGTCTGAAATAATCTCACTCCATCACCAGAAAACAGTCTGAAACAGTCTTTATACTGCTTTATGGTCTGACAAATAGAGTAATTTTCACTGAACTAGTATCTACATCATTTTATTCCATGTTATGGGTTCAAAATTCCCTCCAGTTACTGCTGTTTCGGAATCACCAAAACCCTTGAAACCTAGATGTAAACAAAAGTGATTTTTGGAGTTTTTGAGCTCAGGTAAAGCTGAAGGGATTAGCCAATCTCCACAGGTGTGCAGCCTTAAGCATGGATTCCACAAAACCTGATGCACTGCTTTCATGAGGAGGAGCACAGCACAGCAAACTTCCTCCTAGTCATGGTACAATCCTCGATGGCTACGAACACAGATAACTTTTGAGCCGCTGACCTCTTGACTGGCACACAGAATGCCAACTTTCTCATGATACAAAGGTTTAACTCCTTCTTTATGAAGCCTTCATAAACTGTTATCAGAATATATGCAATGCAGTTTTATCCTCTTGGCAAATACTGGCAGACAGCTGAGTATGCTATAGTACCACTCTGCTTTGAGAAGGCTCAGGGGAGCCCTTATTGCTCTCTGTAACTAACTGAGAGGAGGCTGTGAGAGCTGGAGGTCGGCCTCTACTCACAGGTTACTAGTGACAGGACTAGAGGGAATTGCCTCAAGTTGCACCAGGCGAGGTTTAGGTTGGAAATGAAGAGACATTTCTTCCCAAAAAGAGCAGTCAGGCACTGGGACAGGTTGCCCAGGGAGGTGGTGGAGTCACCGTCCCTGGGGGTGCGCAAGGAGAGGCTGGGCCTGGTGCTGAGGGGCGGGGCTTAGTGGGTGACACTGGTGGCAGGACCAGAAGATCTCGGAGGTCTTTTCCAACCTTAACGACTCTGCGATTCCAACTGCTCACTACTCATTTGTAGAATACTGCTTCTTTTAAAATGAACAAACTTCTCTAAAACGCTGGGGCAGGCACAGAACGCTTAGCGAGTCCCTGTATAAACACGACCCCCCCCCCCCCCCCCCCGGCCGAACGCCACCGCCCCCCTCCACCCACCCCAGCCCCCCGCCGCCAAGATGGCGCCGCCCCCCGACAAGCGGCCCCCGCCCCCACCCCCACCCGGCAGGGGTCGCGCGCATGCGCGCTGTGGCGGCGGGGCCGCGGCCCGCACCTTCTCGGCGCAGGTGACTCCCGCGATGCCTCCGCCCACCACCGCGAAGCGGCTCCGCGCCGGGCCGGGGACGGCCGCCATTGCCCCGCCTGCTCCGGGCGCCGCAGCGAGGAGCAGAGGGCCGCCGCTCTTCCTCGCTGGGGCCTACGGCGAGCGGTGACGCCCAAACTTCCTCGGTTTGCGGCAGGGTGGGGCGCGGCCCCGCCCGTTCTGTCTGTGGCCTTAACTCGTTCTGGGCTTGGGTCTGCTGAGAACACGCAAATAAATAAGAGGAGTGACAAGTAAAATAAAAAAAAAACTCAAGCCCTTCTTCATTCCTTAACCAGAAATCAGGAAAAAGAAACGTGAAAGCAGGAGACTGCGTTCGTTTCTCACAGGCCTCCCCCCCGCCCGCAGTTTTGAATGCAGTGCTGTAGGTGTAGCTCGGATCATCATGTACTTGCAAAAAGTGAAACAAAAACTAATAAAACAATAAAGTCAGCTAGAGAATGAGCAAATGTTTCTGAGACACTCGTGTCCCCACACACAGCTCCCAAACCGTGCAACCCTTTGTTGGAGCATGTGGCTGCACCGAGGGACATGGTCCTTCCCTGCGGGCGCATGCTGCTGTCCAAAAGCAAAGCTACTGGAGGGGGCCTGTCAGGGTCTGGTGGTGGGAAACCTGCAGTTTTCTCTGGTGATCGGAGCAAATAACGTTTCTAATTTAAGAGACTATGATTAATGTGAGAAGTGTAATACACCATAAATGTTTGCTCATTGTCTTTTGTATTATAAAAACAAGGAGTTCTGTTTGAGGAGTGGGAGTTGCGAAAGCTCCCTGCTGCAGTAAGGAGCTGTATAATGCTTGGCTAGACACTATGAAAATTCTTTTGCTTAATGTAACAAAAAAGAGAACCCCCTCCCCTTCTCTCCTTCTGCATCTCAGTTGCCTCTTTTGTTCAAAGACCCTGCTGCAAAGCTCATGTAACGATCTCCTGATAAGTTGCTAACCTAGTGTATCAACATCCTACCTTCCTGTCTCACGCTGGGCCAACATGACCAAATCAAAAAAGAAGTTGAACCACAACGATGAGGAAGACTACGGCCTTCATCTTTACGACCACCAGAGGGACAGAGATGACCCCCTAGCAACAGTGCGCACAGTCGTAGAATATACCAGGATGTGCTGCGTAATCCCGGAATTACCAAAATATAAAAAGGGACCCTGGCAGGGGGTGAGGTGCACGCTGTTGGTGGAGCCGAGACTCCCCGGCCGCCCAGCGCTGTTTTGCTTGCTGTTGGCTTACTCGATAAATTCCTTTCTATGGTTAATACAATGCTCTCTGAAAAATTAGTTAAGGGGGCAACTTATAACAAGAAGTACATAAAAATAACAAAGCAACATGTGATAAACTGTCCACCAATGCTAGTTGTTCAGTATGACACGCTTAAAATGGATTCAGGCTATTACAGTCCATTTACCTGACACTTTTTAACATACGTTTTTAATTTGAACAGTATTCTTTAATACTATTTTTCCCTTTAGGAAGAGAAGATGAAACTACTAATTGTGTGCACCACGGAAGATGACACAATTTCACAGCTGATACCTTTTTAGACATTGCTGCCAAGACATCAATCAGTCTTCAAAATAGCAACTTCCTAATGGCAGTTAGTTACAAATACTTTTTCCCTAGCATTGGAGGTAATTTCACAGTCCAGACAATTGCTGACCATTTTGGTCATAAACTAAATTTTGTTCCCTGAACACATGCCATTCCACTGTGAATTACTCGAGTAAATGACCTGACCCAAACAGTGCAAAAAAAATTGGATAGACTTGCGTCACCAAGTACAAGAATACCTTCCAAGGATTTTATTTTGCAGTATAAAATAAATGGCAAGAGAACTCATTTTACTTGGAGCATTTGCTTGTGAAAACTAAGAAAAATTATGACTGTTTCCTTTCACAAAAAAATGTAAAAAACTATTTCAAACAATGGGTCAAATGAAGACTGAAAACAGTTGCTCACAATTATGCAACCTCCTTAATTTCTAACTGACAGCACATGGATGATAAATGCAGATCTGTAAAAACTTTTCCAGATTGATAATGTTTAGTTAATGTAGGAAATACAATGATCTTGGCTTTAATATCAGTAACCCATCAAAAATTAATTCCTGAGACTTCTTGCCAAGCTTCCTAGTACACATACGTAGGAAAACTGTAGCAGAGGATGTCAGAGTATGCAAGTAGATGGCTGTTGTTAAACTTTTTTTTTTCTTTATTAATTGAGAGCTCAATGTTCCAAAGAGTCACTGTGCACCCACCATTCTGCCCATGTCACTGCATAACTTTCACAGAGAATGGTTTAGGGTTGGAATGGACCTAAAAAGGTCATCTGATCCATGCTGCCCCCACTCAAGTAGAGACACTCAGAGTAGGTTGCTCAGGACCATCTCTGGGCAGCTTCTGAAGATCTCCAGGGAGGGAGACTCTGCAGCCTTTTCCAGTGCTCTGTAACCCACACAGTAAAGAATTCCTCCAAGCCATCTCTTCTCTAGGCTGACAAGTCTCAGATCTCTCAGCCTTCAATCACAGGAAAGAATCTCCAGTCTCTTAATCATCTTCTTGGCTTGTGTGTTGGGTCTGTCTGAGCTGGAGTCACCTTTTCCCTGCAGCCGCCCACACAGTGCTGTGATCTGCACTCGTAGCTGGAACAGCACTGATATCACTCCAGTGTTGTGTCTATTGCTGCGTAGTGCTGGCACAGCATCAGGACTACTTCCAAACCCCCAAGAGCCAGCAGGCTGGGGGTGGGCAAGTGATGGGGAGGGGACATTGCCAGGGCAGCTGACCTAAACCAACCAAAGGGATATCCCATAACACCAGATGTCACACTCAGCAATAAAAAGGGGGGCTCTCATGGGGGAGGGGGCTGTTCCTCCTGAACAACCACTGCGTGTTTTGAGGCCCTGCTTCCCAGGACGTGGCTGAACACCGCTCGTTGATGGGAAGTAGAGAATAATTTTTTTTTCCCTCTCTCTGTGCTTCCGCATGGACTTATTGTTTCTTTTGTTTCTTTTTTTTTTTTCTCCATATTCCCTTTCCCTTTAATTAAACCTTTCTCATCTCAAACCTCGAGTTCTCTGTGTTGTATTTTCTCCCCCTTCCTCTTTGAGAAGAGGGGGAGTGAGAGAGCGGTTGTGGTGGAGCTTGGCTGCCCACCTGAGTAAAACCACCACAGCTTGTTGTTGGACTCTTTCCAGAGTGTCAATGTCTTTCTTGTGCTGGTGAGCCCAGAACTGGACACAGCGTTCAAGGTGTGACCTCACCAGTGCTGAGTAGAGGGGAAAGATCACCTCCCTTGACCCGCTGGCAGGGTTCTGCCCAGCACAGCCCAGGATGCCATTAGCCTTCTTTGTGGAAAGGCCACAAACTTGATATCCACCAGGACCCCCAGATCCTTTTTTACAAAGCTGCTTCCCAGATGGTTGGCCCCCCCAGCATATACTGCTGTCTGGGGTTGTTCTTCCCCAGGTGTGGGGTTTGGTCAAATATCATGCTTTTGTAACCATTCTGTGATACTACCTTCCATCCCGCTGACTACACCAGTTTGATGCAAATAGATTTTTTACACAACTTTGATTTAACAGCATTTTTTATGCTCTTACAGTAAATAAAAAATAATAAAAAATAAATTTGTATGATTCTTAATAGCACTTAATCAACATTTAATCATCAGACAGTTTAACATGGTGATTTCAACAGAATTTGCGCTAATGGAAGCAGGAACTTAGTTAAAAGTTCGAGAATGGCAAGGTTCACACAAAACCTAGTACAAGGGCATTAGGTGTTTCTAAGTTCAATTGCTTGCTTACAAACTCCCTCCACCCTCCACCCTCCACACCCCCTCTGGGTGAATTACTCGCCCTTCTCAGTGTTTATCTGTGGATGAGCTTTGATCCTTGAGGAATCAGCCCTGAAAGACATTCCACCTCAGGGGTACCATGAGAGATGTCCCAGCTCAGGGGGAGATCAAGGATTACAGCTTGCTGTGATCCCTGGAGAGCTCAAATAGGCTTTCTCCAGCCACTGGAGATAAAAACTTTATTGTTTTTATACGATAAAGTAATTGGCTTTTAGTCAAACTCCGGTTCCTTAATGTATTTTTTTTGAACTCTGAAGTGATCATTTCCCCGTGAGGGATTTCAGTGGGTACCTGCTTTAAGGGAGTGCCCCCATGGCTTTGAGCATCTACCTGCTGCTCTATTATTGATGAGCAGTCCAGTTCAAGGAACAGGCACCACAGAGGCCTACTGTGGTTCATAAGCCTGAACAAGACTTATGCCAAGTGCAGTAGTAGAGCATACCTGCCGCACCGAGGCTGCCTTTGACCTTCACATTCCTAACAAAACTTTGGGAAGCTGGAGGTCTAGCAGAGTACTTCTCCTTGTTGGCTCCTCTATCACTTGGAGGAAGTTATCAGGGCACTACAGGAACCACCTGGATTGTTATTTCCTGCTACGTTGTCCCTCCGACAGATACCAGGGTGGTTGGAAGTCCCTCATGAGGACGAGGGCCCGTGAACATGAATCTGCTCTTATTTGCCCAGAGAGGGCCTCATCTGCTTGTTCTACCTGGTCAGTTGGCCTGTAGCAGACGTCCACTATGTCATCTTTACCTGTCCTCTTTAATCCTAACCCATGAACTCTCGGTCAGCTAGTCATTCATCACAAGTAGAGCTTCATGCACTCCAGCTGCTCTTGTCCCATAGAGGGCAGCTTCTCCTCCTCATCTTCCCAGCTTGCCCTCCTACAAAGCCTGTATGCCTCCATTACAACACTCTAGTCATGGGAGCCATCCCACCTCATCCCAGTGTCATCTTATAGTCTCAATGAGTTTGTAGCTCCGCAATTATGTTTATTCCCCATACTGTATTAGTATATAGGCAATTTAGAGAGGCATCCCTGTGTGTTGATTTTCTAGACAGGTTTGGAGAATTTTTCCTTAATGGGGCCTTCTAGGCATTTCCTTGTTTACATTTGAAGGCTGAGGCAGACCATCCTTTTTAGGATTTTGCGACCCCTTCCTGTCACACCACCCCATGCCCTTTACTCAACTCTGCCCATCACTCCCTCAGAGTGGTTACTCTCTCTCTTCCCCAACATTCTTAGTTTAAATCCCTCTTTACAATGTCAGCTATAAGTACTGGGAA